ATATATAATATTTCATAGGATGTCGACTAACGAGGAGTTATAAATTGCCGAAGCGGGCTTTACATCCAATTTATGTTTGTGAAAAATTTGCTGTACCAACAAGCTTTTAAGCACAACACTTTAAAACGTTTACCGGGACAGTGAGCATTTCAATGTTAATCAAACTGTTCCGAGGCGTAGAAACCAGGGTGCAATGTGTAACTATAATTTTAAGCATATTCATGGACGGTTACTTGTACAGATTTTTTGTTAGTCAAACATTATTTTATCCTCATTCTTGCCTTCTTACTCAAATAATAACTTTGTTATGTAAGTGCCAGTCGTAATCATCAACTGATCTCAGACACCAGTGATGATAACGGTGACAGAGAATCATTTCCTTTCAATATAAACGTTGATACATGGATGATAAAATGATATTGTGGTTGTTCATTTTCATTGAATTGATCAAATATATAAAAGCAACAAAGAAATAAATTTGTACCTAATGTTCAAAAGGTAATAGGCAGAAGCGTATAAAAACATGAATGTTCATTGTACTAAAAATTTTAATTCATCACATATCGAACACGAATTATTGATCATTATGAAGTTTAATCCTAAAGATGAATACAAAATCAGCAGAAAATAACGAATCTCACTGCGTAGCACGATCAGGATCTTGATTTAAACAATAAATTAAAAGTTCATACGATTTTCTGTGCATACATGCTGCCAAACCCAGCATTATTAACTGATAGAATATCGAACAAAAACATAGTGTACAAAAATATTGATGCCAATGCATAAATTTGATAGAAGAAAAGATATCGTGATTTTTCAACTGCCAGATAACTCACAAATATTGTAATCTGTGAAATAATTGAAACATAAAAATAAGTATGAAATTCACACAGAAACGGTAGCTGTGTAAATGTGAACCAAATTATCAAATCTCATTTTTAATACTGAAAAAAATAACTATTGACATTACTGTGAATTTTTGTGAAAGAAACTGTGTGAAGATCGCAAAGGATTAGAGAATTTTAAAATCAGTTTGCCTATGTTTGGTCTGTCGGAGCATATAATTCAGAATGAAATATGCCTTCCATTAGACAGAGCGGAATTTAGTGACGACACTAAGTCAAACAGTGATATTTTTGTTGATATATGGCATTATAAAGCTGTTTTTGTGGCTCTTTCAAATAGGTGTTTTACATGCATATATAAGCTTAATTTGTGTGCCTATTTACTCGTATTATCAAGGTTTTTGTAGAATTCAATATATACGGCCACTGGAAACCTACTGTTGTTAACTGGACCAGGTACAAACTGATAAGAACTATTCATCTTGCCACTGCATTACATTTCATAGCTCCTTCTGCCGAATAACTGGAACACGCAGTAGCTAAATTCATATCAGATACCAAGCTTCTCAATCGCTGAAAATGGTGGTCAACAGTAACTTGTTTCAAATTATTTTGGTGACGAATCAAAATCATCACAGAAACTTTGAGTCATTCACAGGCTCACCATTTATCACTCCCAATGTTGTGGCTAGCAAAAATAGAAGTATGCCATATTAGAGAAACATCGGGCTAAAAGCGTCAGTAAAACATTGAAGAAGTAGTATATTCGTATAGTAAACATTTTGTGCATATATAAACTATAGAGGCTCAGAAAAATGTTTTAGATGAATAACGCGAATTCATTTCGCATCGTTTTATTCCCGTCGGATCCTTAAAACCTGCTGTATGTAAAAATACGATTACAAATCCGAAATTGGAATATCTTACATGAAAAAGTTTTTTACGGTAGTCGAATCACTGATGAATGGGTGCAGCACGGAGAAGGTATGTTTGTTCAAGTAACATTGAATAAGAGACTGCAGATAGCGTACGCAGAAGAATATTTTAAAAATATTGATAATGACAAGAGTCCGTGGTGAAGTAACAAAATGGTAACATGAGGAATCAATTAATGCGGTTAAGAACACGTTCATAAACCAAATGTAAACTCAGCGATGAAATCGTTTGGAGGAAAGTGACGAACAAACGTTCATGATATAATGAGTAGATGTCAATATTCATCACTTATTGAACACACGAATCACTTTTCAGGCACTTGGATGTAACAACGGTTGGCTTAAACCGCCACAAACTTGAACCTGACTCTTTCAAAAATAATTCCGAATATTCAGAAGTATGTACATGATATCTTTTTTAAATCAGGTGCCTTGTTATTTTTATATTAAACGTGCTTTATTTGATAAAGTTACAACAGTTTTATATTCAGCGTAAGTCCCCGCCAATACAGTGTTACTCAGCTTATCAGAATCAAGTGAAAATACTATATGGATGCATGTCGCTCAAATTAAATCTGCCTTGTTGCTACCTTCTTCAACATGATAAACTGTGCATATGATAATAAAATTTAGATGAATGTAACTTACAATGAATAATATTATTTCTGCAACAATATCAAGACTGATGACTGCCTCCTGAAAAGCAATAAAAACGGTTTCATGAAATAATGTTTGTGAATTCAACATTGCACACAAAGTGAACAGCACTTAATAATGACAGAACAAAATGATGCCAGAACAAAGATAAACATTCTATTTCGACTGACGTTGATCTGTCAATTTAGGTGGTCAATGAGTCATACAGGCAAATGATAGAAACAGTAACAAGCTAACTAAAATATGTTCTTTCTGTATTCGATTGGCTGAATGAACGATATCGTGAACACCTTGTAGATAAGAAAGTCTGAAATCTTGGATCACTCAAAGTTCATCGTGTCCGAAAACAATCGCTCGTGTTCACATATATCAGCGTCAGAGAGAGGTCGATATCAGCTGAATCCAATACACTGTGATAAAATTCAAATGAGCGTTATTCTTTGGAAACAAGCTGGCGGGTTCTATGTTTATATTTTATTCTTTATAGTTTATTCAGCATGACAACCTGCCTGAATGCAATCGATCAACATACAGTAGATGACGAATAATGTGACGCTAATAAGACCAATGGCTATTTATCACGGAATTGTTGCTGTTAGTAGGAATCAAAATATTTTCCTGCCAAACATCTATAAAATTCGATACATTCTATTCAGTGCTCTGAGGTTTGCAGTTGCTGAATATGGAACATCAACTATTAGCTTATGATTCAGAGATCTCATAGGAGATAACAATGGCGGCTTGCATTTGAGAGGTTTAAAATACAATGGCACTATTTATTTATCAATGAAATGGCATTGTAATTAGGTAATTGAAATAACTTTGATACCTTTCGGAGTACAGCGTCAGGAACTGACGAAATCGTCACAATTACAGTCCAAACGATACCAAGTGATAACACAATATCTACTGATTGAGCTACTAAAACGGTTTTGATTGCTGCACCAAGTAGCAATGCAGATGTAAAGATAATCAAGCTGATTACAGAGGCAGCAAGAGTAGTAGCAGGATCTAACACTGTATTCGAAACTGCAAGTACTATAGCCATGCAAATGGACTGAAAAATGCAAATAAAATGTTGTTATTTTGTGTTTTAACATTGATGTTGATAAGTGTTTGGATATTATTTACAAGAAGATTAGTGACTTTTAGGCACGGTAGAATGAATAAAAGCAAACAGATGTCTAATAAAGCATCTACCAATCATTAAGCATAAATTATACAGATCATAAATTGTGTTCTTCATTTCTGTGAAGAAAGCGATCGCGTCCTAAACATTTGACAGATAGAGATACTTACCAGCTAACCAGGGAGCAAATAATATGTACCGATAAAACAAACAGATACGTGAAAGTTAATGTTCATCGCACACATACTACACTGTGTAATCAATGAAATAGTTACAATCAACAATTCGTTCATATATATGAAGATAAGAAGGTAAATATATGAAAACTAAAATTGAGGCAAACATTCATCTGAGTCCATGTCCTGTATGCCAAGACTTCTTAAGCCTGCGACTTTCTTTGCGAATGAAGTTATCCTTCCGTTTCCTTAGTGCAACGGTTAAAATGAAACCTGGATTAAACAAAAAGACGTCTTCAACTTGATGAAACTGAGTTAAAGTAGTTAGTTTGGTGAATGTTTCTTTGTTTGTTATCATTAAATCCAGGTCGCCCGATAAATATTGCTTTTGAACAAACACTGTGTCTGAAACTTCTGGTTTGCATGTCTATGTAGCTCGACCATGTATTTCCGTCTAATGATGGATCGGAAATTAAGTGCGTCGAACATTTTACGTGTCTTACAAACACTTGTGATCCATTGCATATTATTTCTACGCTCATACAAAATAATCAAACAGTCTGAATTATTTAACATATGCAGTTGATTCTTACATAAATTATCACCGAACTGATTTTCACAGCATAATTTTCTCTGAACTTCTTCACAATTGCAATAACTATTGCTATCGCTAAGGCGATCGATCTAAAAAGTAAAATAAAAATCACTGAAGCTTTGCTAATATAATTATAGAAAATCATGTGTGCTGAAACTTGGATATGCTAATCAGGAATGAGTTGAGAATCACACTTAGTTGATTACTAAACACGTGGAATAAATGATGTCTGAATGAGGTGGAGTGTTTGTCTTCAAAACATTTTCAGTAACAAAATTATTTTTGAATGGATTTGACGGTGAAGTACAATAAGCAGTTCGATTGATGATGAGACACATTCAATCGATACATTCACCTTGGAGAGCGGATAGTCATGTTGACATTTTAAACAAGTCCTGATTGAGTCTCATATTATTTTGACCACAGTCATTCAACTTTCAAAAGTAACTGTTCTTCTGCGTTTATCACAATGATCATAGTTCAATCGATGAATAATCAGTTCAAATATGTTTGCAACATTAGGCTGACCCACGCGAATCTGCAGACCCTACATGCTACTTTATTCGGATACTAGTTATGAATTGAAATTATTTCACTAGAATTATCATTCAATTCATTTTTTGAACAGGTAAGATGTAGATAGAATAATGAGAAACTTACGCAAATAAACCAGCAACAAGTAACTGGACCTTTGAATTTCGAAACATTTCTTGGAGATAACTGAAAGAATAACGTAATCATGCACTGGGCAATTTACTTTACAGATAAGATGATTACAATTACCGATGTGACGACTATTTGTATTGCAGTGAGCATGAGAACCTACGATCATGAACAACCGTCAGTTGAAATGACAGATTACCTTGATCGTGTATGATGACACAATCAGTAGACGATCAGGTTTCTGTAACGCATCCACTGTACATCTTGTAGTTTTCGTCCACAGAATAGTCGGAGGAACAGCAGATACTTCCTTCACTTTCGTCCTATCATGATCAATGAAATCGCACATTTTTTTTTAATAATCCTGATAAAAAGATGATGAGGCGAATAAAAATTTTAATGTTCGGAAATGTAAACATATTATTGTTTTGTCCCTAAATGTTGAAACATGCATTTCATATAATAATTTTAGATATTTTGAAGCACAACATAATAAATATGTTTGATGAGGTCAAAGTCTAGATAACATGAAACACCAATTTCCCATACAGAGAAACTCTGTCACCTAAGAATATTTTGTTCTCACCTACCACATATATCTGAAATGTGATAATAACATCCGTAATAAAAGTAATAACACCTCTTAACTCATTTATTCTTGTAAATCATAAATGTGCATAATATTGTAAATCAGCAATTTATTTCTAGTTTTCCTATTGAATATTCATTATTCCCATGTCCGTCTTCATTTCTTAACAGATGAGCTATAAGTTCTTCATTTTTTTGACATTGACGATTGCGTGTGTGGGTCTTTTTTTTCTGCAGTTGAAGTTATTCGTCAATCAGATGTTTTCCGTGTAGGCAACTTTAAATAAACACTTGTATCATTCGGATGAAAGTTTTCTTGGTACACCAAATTTTGATGTTTTCATAATACAGTCGATCAGTAGAAGAATGACTATAGAAGAAATTTAGCAACTTAGCCTGATATGGATCTTCGATAGAAAAATGTCTGACAGTTGTCCTATTTGCAAGATTTTGGGATTTCATCCCAAATAATAGTCATGATGTTAATGGGTAAATCAACACACCACTTCATATTGTAGTAACCTTTCTCGTGATTGAGGAACTAGCTCACTGCAACTTTCAACCACATATTCCGCAAATTAACTGTCGTCCTCCAGAACTACATTTACTCTCAAACATCATTTTGCATGAAAAGAGTAATACATTATACATAAATTAACTAAGCTTCTAACTGAAATATAATCACTGTTCATCATAACTTGTCTTCTCGCAAAATGTCATTTATATAACAATGACCCATGCACCTCAATCATTGGAGAGTAAATTGACAGACAATATATGATACACATTTAACCATTTCAACACAGTTATGTTTATATTACATAGAACACATGTCAATCAGTAGAATATTCACAAATTTGTGCGATAATATCAGTGCGAAGTTGTTATGAAACAAGATAAAGTTCATTTATTTCCCTAATTTATTATCTACTGGAATTATTATTCACGACATCACCAAATTTCAGTTCAAATTCTTGCCCTTAAGCTATTGTCTATGAAATAATCTAATATATATGTATATGTAGTTTTTTAAGTTTGATAACGTTCCGTAGGAATATCACAATGAAGTATAGATAAAATAATTACCAAAGTTAGATCTGTAGTGAAATACTTCGACGAATAGAATGCAATTAGTAAAAATGGAAACATTTATTATTGCACTCAATTTTATCATTGGTTGTTTTATTGTACTCCTTTCGCTTCCCAATTTCAAAAATATCAATTTCGCGCTTGATGTGTTGCCTACGTGGCCCTGTCGCATCAGGGGTTTTTATCTTTGTTCGTTTCACTTTTTTAACATCTTCCTGATAGAACGAGATCATAAATCAATACACCTCATTCTCCAAACACAGGTGGACTTTTGATTTTTGTACTTACAGGAATTTAAATTGATTTCGCTGTCTACAAAATAGATTTTGACAACAATTACAATGTTATTTGGTCTTTAGTGATAGGATGAAGTGGTTGCGCGATGAATGAACAGTGAGAAAATAGTAGGAATACGACTGGTGTAGTTCAGTTGATTCAAATCACCCTAATAATCTGAGTGAACACTCAAAATTGCAATTGATTGAAAGAACGTGACGTAGAAAATTTTATAATTTGATGAGTAAATTTTCAGAATTATCAATTTTTGACAAACATATATCAGATATCAGACGCTTGATGGCGACAGATGTTTGAATAACTTTTAAAAGCCTTGATTTTGGTACTTCGATAATCTTTTTTGAAGATGAACACACAGTTGTTGCTCAGTTTCTCAACTTCACACATCTGTCATGAGCAGTTTTGTTGAGTGATTTTTCTGGTGGTTGTCGGTTGACACTAATTAACTGTTTTTGAATCCTATTATATTATCTAATAGGCGATACAATATTTTGGGTTGTTTTCGCTCTTCTCTTTATCGAGACTGGAGATACGCTCGACTTTTCACATATTTTTTAGGTGCATCAATAAAAAATTATTCTTGGAAATTTTCAACGTTTTATCTAAATTTGACTATGAGAACGTTCATTTCATTTTGGAAAAGATCAACAGAACGCAGAGAGTTTGTTCGAAGATGTTTGACAGGTTACTGAAATGATTCACCGCACATCTCAAGGTTATTTTGCAACGTTCAACCTGCATCTTATCATATTCTCAAAAAATTTTCAGCGATCAATAATAGTTTGCACACAGCCTTGTCCCTGAATAATTACTCACACATCATGACATAGTAATTGATAAGATAATACTGCAGTAGTGATTTGCCTTTCTAATAATAATCTATTTAGCTGTAGATAAGGTGGGTGAAGCAGATCGAAATTACTTAGTCAGTCAAGTTGAACTAGCCGGCGCTGTGAAAATTAGACCGAAAAATCATGAATCATTCCTTATGTCAACACCATGAGAAAGCCGGATGCCCTTAACAGCCATGTTGTGGTAGTATTTTAATCATGAGCAGTGCTCATACACGAGTCATGGATTCGCCTACTTTCAAAACTATATTAGGCTTTCAAGTTATAACTGAATCATTTTTCGCAGCTTTAACTCATAAACTATTACATTTAGATTGACTGCTGAGTGTTCAAAGTTTGCGCTTACTCTACACATGATCTTGATTGAACACGTGAGTTCAGTCGCTGTCAAGAAAATTTCGTACACTCTGATTTTGTAGAAAAATTGAAATAGCAAAGAGTGACTGTCACGTTCAATCCCTATCCGGTTTGTTTGAGGCCGGTCAGTCGGAAGCTCATCATTCTGAATGATTGGTTTACGTAGACTGTGGTATCTGAACGACAATAATGACAAATAAAGCTATCGCTAGTGACAAACTAAGTTTAAAATTTATTGTTCTGCTCTAAATCGACGTTATCGTGGTTAAGATGTGTAGGTGAATGATTCACAACGCAGCTCTAGATAATTTGACCATTCATGTTAATCTGCGCACTCGGTTAGTGTCATACTGGACGCACAAAATAAATGATAACATAAACTGCAAAATTTCAAGCCCGCCATAAACATCATGTCCATTTATCGTTTTTCAGATTATTCGATAATTTTCGAATTCTTTTTTTGTCGACTTACTTTTACAATACATCATTCTAAACACCGGTGAGAAGACAAAAAAGGCTGGATCTGATTCTTCTAAGTCTGAACATGAATATATTTTTTTAGCCAGTGACTGATAAATCAAGCTGATTGGATTCTCAGAAGAGACTCGAACACTTGATTGGGCAAAAGCGGATGTCACCTGAAAGTAGCCATTCAGAACGTGCGTTTTGTATCATTTACCATTCCTCATTCGCATGTATCCACATCAAACATCGAACACACACCACGCGAATATTGGAATGTTCCTTTTGTACACACCATCACGTTATTCACGAAGCTGCTGTAATCAGAGCAGAACCGTCCAAGTATTTACTAAGGCGAAGATATATTTCATTTTGCATGGAAGTCATGATTTTGCATTTTCACTGCTCTTTCGAACTTTGCAAAGAGCCATTATGACAGTGATTGATCGGCAACGCAACGTGTTATTCGCTTTCAATCACTCAATAACAAGTAACTTCACTTAACTCTCTGTCCGCCACGTTTGAACAAACTAGCATAATGACATACCTAAAGTCGTTCTCATGCACATTGCAACAATTACCATAATAAACTATGTTACTTCTTCTTCTCTAGCAACCAGTGAAACTGTCAACTCTTCTATGCTATCAAGTTTTAATGAAGTAGACAGAACTTCATATATTCTCTTCAACCTTTAATGATTCGATAAACCGATTCTCCAACATTCTGCGTCACTTACCACGTTTATAGGAATACTCATAATATCCCACCACCACGAGTCATGCGATAAGTTGTCAGTGACTATGACATAGAGGATTACAATCGCGATGTTTCGGGCATACTTCTCACTGAACGTCCACAAAAACTGAATCACTGTCAATAACGCAATCGATCTACAAAACTGGGCACAAATCACTAAAGTGTGGTCAGGATAATAAAAGTTAGTATGCGATTAAATTCGAATTTTCTCACAAAGAACAACAAGAGAATGACACTGTATTAATTCATAGACACATGGATTTTCTGATGCTTTATGAGTGAGGTAATTGTCTTTCTATCAGTCTTGTTATTCACAAATTCAGTAGATCATCACTTCGACAAATGTAGATGAAATACGGAACTCTGATTTGATGAATTGTATAACACGCAGCTCATGCAATTTATTTTCAGAAAATCTCATTTCCTCTGTCTGATTTAAAATGACTGATGATACGGTGTAATTACTTTAAGTGGAAACCAGTGAGAATTGAATTATATATGGTATGAATTAGTGGACTGCATATTATTTGATTCGACCATAAATTATTACAACAAGTTTCAGAATTGTATGAAACAATATGTTAAATTCAAAACATTCATGACGGGTTGTGTGATCTTAACAATATATGCTACAAACACAATATTATCAACGTTTATTCGCGTAGTTTTTTGGCAATGACTGAAGCGAGGACTATTTGTATTGTAGTGGGAATGAGAACCTGCCACCATGATGAATTAATAACGAATAAAACAGTTTCCTCGTGTTTCATGAAACAACTAGTAAAAGATCAGGTTTCAGCAATTTTTCACTGTTCATCTTGGAATGTACAATCAAGGAATAAACCGAGAAACTGATACTCTTAAAATTCTGAGCAAACGTACCTGCTCACTGACATTTAATCACTTTGCACCATAACTCATCTTCTCAAAAAATCTCATTTATATAACAATGACCTATGCGCTTCAGTGATAGCAGATAAAAATTAGAGATAGAATGTAAAACAATTACAAATTTCAGTTAGAGTGTGTGTTTGATGATCTCGCAAAATATTATTCAGGTACAGTATCTCAAAAAAATAAACAACACTTCAAAACAAATAATTGTCTGTGAAATATAATGAAATTACTTAACTCATTTCAAACTCAAGCAGTTTTGATACAGTTTAAAGTACATTTATTATTTGTGAAAATATCTAATGCAATCCATATTCACTACATCAAAAATTTTCGTATTTCATTTTTGTCAGTAAACATCAGTATTTGAAATAATCTAATATGTACACTTTAGAAATTTGGTTGATGGAATCGTTTATCTTTTAGCGATAACTTTTTCCGATAATATCACTAACAAACACATATAAAATATTTATTACTGTCTGTTGATTGAGCATGACCACTTCACAAATCAGCTGCTGGTTTCATTATATACCAGGCAAATCTGTCTAAACATTGTATCGACCGAATTCACAGCATTTCATCAGAACAACTTCATAAGCTGCAGGGTCTGATGTACTAACATGAGTGATAAATGCTCTCAATACATTTTTTCAAATGTTATTTATTGGATTTGTGTCTTAGGCCTCTGTAAAAAAATTCTTTACACTCTATTTTGATTAAAAAGTTTAAATAATAAAAAGTGGATGTAAATTCGACGTCTTAATCAGGTTGTTTGATACTGAAGAAACGAAAAACCATAATTCCTAATCCTCGGTGTACGTCCGCTGTCTAATCTGAGCGTGACTTGTAATATGTGAACAAAATCCTTGTGACAGACTTCCATAAATCAACATCTCCTACTGTCTTACGACTTCACTGAAGATTAGATCTGTAGGTGAATGGTTGACGACTACTCATCTTGGTCTGAGCAGTGAGTTTATTTCATAATGCTGCTTCAATCTTAAAAATTTCATGCTTGACCCAAACCTCACTCACATAAATTGTTCTTACCATTACTTGATAATATTCGATTTCATTCTCCAACGTCTCATACATTACTCCCATTACAGGTGAGAAAACAAACAGGACTTGATAAATTTCTAGAAAGACTAAAATCGATATATATGTTTGGTCAGCGACTGATCAATCCTAACGTTTCGAATAAATACTTGATGTTGTTTTTGTAGTACCTCAAATATATCACCACTACGAAACGTGTTGTAAGTTTGATATTTCCAATTATATGTATGATTATTGCTGTATCGTCATTCTGTTGCAAAAATGAGACGTTTGATCTTTCGATTAGTCAGCACACATACTATCTTTTGTAATTGCAATTATTTTACAGTATAACAATCCTTTGTAGATTCGAAAAGAATGTCAAAAGAATAAGAAATCATAAAATAAACAAGCATTTAAACCATGTATGATCCGACAGAATTTTCCACTACTAAACGTTCCAGTTGATTCTTATGCAAAGTTTTCTCAATTTTTAACTCAAACCGAAAGAATGAGCAGCCATAAACTACATATCTTTCATATAACAAGGGTAGATCTGCTACGGAAATTTTATATTCTCTATACAAATGCTGTGAATGATTATGATATTTGTGAGGACTGGACTGCTTCAACAATTTCCGTGTCAGAATACTTAACAAAATTTGACGCAACCAAGAACATCTTATCTTTTACCAAACCGACCATGACTGTGTGAGCGGAATGCATTATGTAAATAATATTTTCAGCATATCCTTCTATTTGTAGTTGAACAGATTATTCGTTGTAAATTTGTTCATTCATCTTCACTCGTTCCTGCTCACTAAGATTATTACTTTCATGTTTTGGCGATTATTCCAGGCATCAACTGATCTCAACTAACATAGGACGGTGACAGAGAATTGCCACCTCATAAAAACCTATTCGATGTATAAATCAATACCTAACATGCATAATTACATTATATTTGTATATTTATTTTCATTACAATAATCACAAATGTAAAACAAGAAAGAAATCGTCATGTGATCATGTTATGTTGATCACAGCGAGCATCACATATGAGTATACATGATCATTTTACACATATTTGCATTCATTCAGAAGTACAGGCAGAAATACTGACCAGTACGATGTGAGACGTTGGAAATGATTAAAGAACCAACAGAAAATAACACAGTTGTCAAAGGACAACTAATATGATGTCAAATAAACTTGTTTGACGAACAATTCATTTCACTGTTCCAAATACATACTGCCAAACTCAGCATTAGTGACTGATAGAATTGTAAGACAAGCAGAGAGAACAGAAATATTGAAGCCTGCGCAAACATGGGATAAAAGTATAGGTAGCGTGATTTTCCAACTGTTAAAAGATTATCGGATATTTCTAGCTGTGAAACACACATATTAGGTAGATCTTCTTATGAATAAAGTCACTGTGTATTAGAAAACAAGTGAATCAAATCTACTTTTTACTAACGGACGTTTTGTGAGTAAAATCAAATAACTAATGACATAACTATGAATATGTGTGAAAAAGACAGTAAAGAGATTGACAGTGAGATGAGAATTTCAAGTTCATTTGATGTATGTTTGTTACGCTGGAGCACTGAATAGAGAATGAAATATGTCTTCATTACATAAATCGGAAATCAGTCATCATACCACGTTCAAACAGTGGTTTTATTTGCAGTGGATTTGTCTGAACCGGATAATAAAATTATGCTATGAGATTACTGACGTTCAATGACCTAATTGAGTCAGTATATCGTCGTTGTGATGCAACAATTTTGAGCACATTATCAGTCAACAGTTCACCATCTTGAATGTCTTCTGTTCCAAATATATTACAAGAGAAGAAGTTAGTTTGTATTGTGTCGATTTACTGCGAGTTGTTAATCTCAGTAATTAGCTCGTCTAGACAGCAGTTACTAAATAGCGTCTGACGTTTATAAATCAGAAAATCGCAGTTTTAAAAATACGTTTATTCGGGACTCATCACGAAGCAAAAGGGATGAATAAAAAGAAAGACGCGACGTGAATTGGAGAAGGCTGTTGAGCCAACCTCGAGGATTAAAATGCGTAAGAATGGGCGAGGGAAGCCAATGAAGAGGCAAGGCGCGTTGAAGAAGTCTAATGAGTCAACTTCATGAAACAAAGCATGAAATAAAATTTATTTTGAGAAAAATATAAGACGGATATGCGATAAGCAAATAAAATCGACGAATATTTGACAACGTCAAATTACAAGCGGAACAAATCACATGAGGTCATACAAACAAGACGATAATGAGAACAAATGGTACATATAAATTTTTTCAATACGAATGGCTTCATTAGAAAAATCAATCCCTTGAGCTTCACAAAGTTAGATGTAAGCGAACTGAAATATATATGGAGGCTCTACAAAGACTGATCTTGACTCTTTTATTGCTACTAAGCAAGCATTAACTTGATGTTGTGTTCACAGACGATGTCTATTTATTATTTATTGAACATGATTTCTTAATGAAGTATTAAATATTTAGGATTCTGAGTAAGTAACGGCTAAGTCAGTGCTAAGCTATTGATCAGTATCAAACAAAACGGAAAATGATTTGCCGTGAATCTGCTTTTGTTTTGATATTGAAGCAGGACACAACTAAGTGTATGAGATTAAATTTATATGAATTAAACTTACAATGAATACTGTTATTTCTGCGACAATATCAAGACCGATCACTGCTTCCTGAAAATCAATTAAACAGTTTAGGAAATGAACGATGTATATATTTTGCATACTACTAGTACATGACAGCGTAAAATGATGCGAATGAGAATTTTCTGATGAACATCTATGATGTTTGTCTATCAATAAATGTGGCCAATGTCTTATACATGAAAATGGTAGACATAGTAGCAAGGCAACTGAAATATGTTCTCCCTGTATTTTGATTTGCCGAATGGACGATGTGGAGAACACTGGTCGATATTCTGAATCGCTTCCAAGTCCATCGTTTTCTGAGAATAGTGCTTCATGTCGACATATGTTTGGCATGTAGTCGATACTCAAAGGATTTCCTTAAAAAACATGTGTCTCGCTTTCAATAAAATACATTGGCAATTCTACGTTTTCAATTTGTAGAATGTTTAAAGTTAATTAGTATTTTATGATTCGGAGATTGCATAGCAGAAACAAATGGTAGCCTTTGTCCTTAACATGCACCAAATAACAGAAATGTTTAAAATTATCAATGAAACGACACGTGAGTCGGAGAATATAAATCACTTTGTCGCCATTATTTTCAAAGCTGAGACTACAAACGAAATAGTCACAACCAAGATCCATATAGCAACAAGTGATAACATAATCTTTTGCGACTGAGCGGCAGAAATCCTATAGATTGATGCACCAATCAACAATGCAGATGTGAACAATAGCAAGATGATTCCAGCGACAGCAAGAGTAGGAACAAAACCTAACTCTTTATTCCAAACTGCAAGTACTATAGCGATGCAAGTGGACTGAAGAATAGAATGAATGTTAGGTTAGTATGTGTAATAACATTGATGTTCGGAAATCATTTACAAAAACATAAGTCTTTTTTCGATACAGAAGAATGATCTGTTACAGTTAGTCGTGCAACAATGAATCCATCGATTAATTTATGTTCACTTCTACAGAACTGAATATATTTTTACTTCTGGACCGCGTGCTTAGCTGTATCTTCCCTGCTGCTTGCAAAACATCCGACTAAAAAACATACATAACATTTTCCGAAAGAGCGAGCTGCACGTACAGATAAAGTTGACGAGTAGGTATCAGAAACCGTTTGGTGCAGATATCGTGCAGGTAGTATATTCGTTCAGAAACGCACGATGAATTAATAAATTTGAAGATATGGAGATAATTTTTTTGAGAAGGATTTCAGCATTCTTCTTTTTAAAACCATTTCAATGTTATCTCTACGCGAAGGCTTGCTTACCAATTTTCAATGAACCCCGTTTTTTTCAAATCAAGTTCTGTTTTGATCTCTCAGAATCTGTGATTAGAATAAGGTCGAGATGAAACAGAAATTTTTTAAAGTTGTTTTATTGGAACTAAAGAGATAGGTTTACTGAACGTGTCCAGGTCTGTTTTCAGTGAATTTATGTTACCTGAGATCAATGATTTATTCTTATAAATTGTGCATTTGGAAAAACGCAGTTTGAAACTTCTAGTTTGCGTGTCTAAACAGGTCGACTATTTATTTCAGTCCGAAGGTCGATCGTAAATTCAGTGTCCGTCATTTTTCATGTCACACAAACCGTTATTGACTATTTTAAAGTAGTCCTGTGTGAAATCATCTAACAGTCTCGTGCAGTAAAAATCTGTCAGTAATTCTTACATGAATGACTAAAAGCGCGACGTTCATAGCATAGTTATTCACAAACGAAACCACTATCGCCATCAATTGTGCGATCAATCTACAAAATAGAACACAATTCAATGAAGCGTAGAATGTATAATGATCAAACAAGGTTTGTGATGAAATTTGAATATGTAACCGAAGAACAATTTGAATCCCAAAAGCATGTATATTCTGTCACTGGATTAGTAAGCCTAATGCCTCTTTGTCAATTTTGTTTTTCACAAAATTACTTCCTAACACAGTTGGTCATTATTTTGACAAATTTATGTAGAATCTAGTTTAAAATTAATCCCTATTGTTTTGTCTGAATTACAATTAATTGCAATTTTTAAAGTAACGAATTTCAATCTAAAGCTGTGAGAAAAAAGCTATGGACTGTGTGATCTAGTGTAGAGTGGATGTATAATATATAAACAGACAGTTGAATATCACGTTTATTTTAACATCATTATCATCGCTACAGTCAGTGGAATCTGAAAATTTGCGCTATGCACAAAATTTTATCATTGTTGATCAGCATAATCTATAACCGATAATTTCGTTCCGAAATCACCGATGTATGAAGGTTATTTAATTTTATCTGAGTAGACGTAGAACCACCATAGGAGGTTCACTTATTTCAAAGTCACATTCAATCGATATATCAGCACTGTAGAATAGTCATATTGATATTAGAAAGTAGTCTCATATTTTATTGTAGTCAAATCGATTATTCATGTTGCCTAATTTGTTGGTATGTAGACTTACATGAAACCGCAAATAAAACTTGAATTACTTCGTTCGGAAACTCATGACAAATTGAAATTTGTTTTCAGTAAATTTCCTATTCTTTTCATTCATTAAACAGATTACAAGTAATGTGAATATAATGTTGGAAAACTTACGCAAATATACAAGCGACAACAAACAGCACACTGGATTTATCTTGAAATATTTTTTGAAGACTATTGAATGAAATAACATGAATAATGATCGAGCAAATTACAATGTAGATGAGATGATAACAATGACTGAAAGGATTACTGTTTGTATTATAGTGAGAATAAGGACCTATAATAATCCGAAACCATTAACTGATTAAATGAATACTTTGATCGTGTATGATGACACAACCAGTAGTCGATCGGCTTTCTTGATCTTATTCAATGTATATCTTGAAGTAAGGGATGATGGAATTGTCGGATCATCAGCAGATATTTCTGTGATACTTGACCTGTCACCAACAACCGTATCACACATTTAATCCAATGTTACAGCGAATAATTAAAAATGCAATATAATTTGACATGCTAGGAAATGTGAAAAAGGATTATTATACTGTGCGTAAATGTTGTAACAGGCATATCCTACAATAGTAAATGATGTTCTGAAGCAAAAATTATTTACAAAGGCGTTAACTTAAGGATTGAACGTAGTTAAGTTTTATTAAAAAATGTAATTTTGGAGAGTGAGTGTCCTTATCTATCACTGTGAAATGATACCATAAATAAATATAATAATAAATAATCAGTATTTTGTGATGTGTTCTTCAATCTTCCTTTTTTGTATTTGCCACAGATGATTGCAAGTCAGAGCTTGTCTTATGAATGATTTTGTCAATCTGTGTTCTATACATCACAATCAGCTCTTTCCTCTGATTTCCTCGTTCACAGTAATCTAATTAGTTATCAGACACTTTACGATAATCGTGATGAAGTCTCGGTAAGCTTATGTGTGAAAGACATCTCACACAGATTTACTTATTAGTAATCAGATATAAGGATATTTTAATATTCGATAGTGTCAGTTATTGATGTAAGAAATTACTATTTTTTCAGTTGCACTTACATGCTGTATGATTTTTATTTCCATCCTAACCAATTATTATCTCAGTTGCTCTGCTACCAACATGCTATATAACTCTCAGTAATAGAAATGTGTTAAAACTTCTCGTGAATACATAACAATACACAGAAAGCGATACACAGAGTTTCTTGAAAGAATGTCGACACTGAGCATTTTAAATAATTTCACGAACTTCACTGGCAGGCATTTTCGCAATAACCTCTACTCAAATAATATTGCACGATCAATAATAGTTCGGACAGGGCTTCGTATCTCTGAAATTTCTGCCACGTAACGACATAGAAGTTTATAGGTTGATACGATGAGAATGAAAGTTCAGTGACTTATATTTCTACTGATATACGGTTCGAATGTACATTGAGCAGCATGAAGTCGTTGAAAATAAAATTAGCAAATCCAGCTGAACTAGTACACGTTGTGTATACTACCCGTTGAATTATTCATTCAATCATTGTTAGACCACCAGAATCTGATAGCACTTAACTATCGTTTCATTCCGGTATGAGACCCAGCTGCAGAGCGCATTTTCCAGTAGTGTATTTGTTTATTGCCTACAACCAGATAAGGCTTTGAACTTTGCCACATCATCTTATTCGTGGTTCGGAGGTCGGTTGTATTTTTCCAAAATCATTACAAAACAATTACGACCGTAAATGCTGAGGTACGACCAACAATGTAGAACGTTGTCGCTCACTGTCCATATCTTTTTTACGACCACGTAATTTTATGAACTGTTATAGAGTTCCATAATCTCTGTTCGCATATCAAAGGTATGTTATAGAAAAACGGAGATGACAAAGAGTGTATTTTACCTCAAGGTTACACACGGGATGGTTAATACCCTTTAGTCAGATGACCTAAACCTTGTATCACTAGTGCGCCTAAACTGTTGCTTCTAGACGATACCGATGACATATGAATAAATCGGAAAAAACAAATATAATGATGACAAAGAATGGAAAATTTCATGCTTGCTTAACACTCACTCCATTCATTCACGCATACTTTTATTGATAATGTACGCCCTTATATTTCATCCAGTCCTTGTTATAATTCATTACACAAATTGTTCGTCAGACCACGAATATGGTTTGCTTTGTTTTAAAAATATCTCAAGATCGATGCATATATTTGTTAAGCAGATGTTACACCAAATGCTTTAAATTTCGTCGAACGACTGTAACAGTTAATGCGCGACATAATCAACGGACACATAGCCTTTACTCCGGAACCTATGTAAATGTGGCAGTGAGATGGCTTCCTGTTTACTAAAAGTCGATCCTGCATTGCAAATTTGATGTTTGATCTCTGAATTATATTAAGGTCTGCAGTGGATCAGTGGTAGACGAGTCACAAATAATATGAAATAAACATTTCACTACCGGCGGCTTATTGATGTCAAATAACTCTATGTTGTTGAAGATTACAATATCATGCATGATGAAATAACCACAGACGTCTTCATACCAAATTGCTACAGATCACTCTCTCTTTTCTAGCATTCAGTGAAACTGCCAAGACTTTCATCCAATCAGACAGGCATGATGTAAACAGGATTCAACCATTTCCCATCAAATATGAATGATGTGATATACTACTACCTATTCTGAGTTTCTGTGATACCTGTTCCGCTTTCATATTCTGACTCCCTCTCTCAAGTACAGTTCATATCGTGATTGTTGAAGTATCTCATTTATCAGGCCGTTCTAGGAATTGTGTGTTAGGCAGGAGAATACCAATAATATGGATAAAAATTCCTGCAATAAATTACATTGTGATAATGAGATAATATGTCGATTTCTTCGAAAGCATCTCAATCATCAATGCGTCGGTTATTGCTTGCTGAGTTGTATCAGACAGTCTTCCTTTTCCCACTATTGAGAACGTCTGCTGGAAATTAGGTTTCCACAAATGCTGTTCTCTCTTACGCTTGCTTTTACGTGTGAGATAAAAAATGTATGCCATCTAAGGAGTGCGGATTGTCCAGCGTCATTATAGATATCGATTGAAACCGCCGATTTTCTCTACAAGTTGAAGTCATCATAATCCATTTGACAAATTCCATCTTTGCTGGTTGAAGAGGATCCTGCTTATCTTTTTATTTAACTTGAAAACTAATTTTACTTAGGCTGCTGCTGAACTGTTTTTCTTCACATGCATTTGTTGTTGCGTGTGAAATAAAAGACCAAGCTTATCTGTAAAACTGGATTTTGCAGCTGTATCATATTCGTCTATTATATCCTGTTCATCCTGCCCCATGTTGGCGTCTTCATACTCCAGTCAATCACAAGTTAATAAATGACAGGTTACGGATAGCAAACTTGCGTGAATACTGATCTTTACTTGGAACGTGTATGTGAGCTTTCTTATGCACGAGCTCGCAGTATGATTCAAACAAAATGTGACAATGATAATAGTTCTATTATTGAACCACTCAAAACTCTGCTATTTATACCCGTTTACCGCTCACTGCGGGATCAAAATTACCTTTTCCGAGGTATAATTGTCCTCTGACAGAATTTACTTAAAACTATGACATTATTTTTTTGAAATGCGCAACATCTGATACACAAAAGGTTCTGAAGATACGTACCCTCTCATTTACATATAATCACTGTATGTCATAACTAGTCTTCTCACAATATCTCATTTCTATAACAACTACCTATATACTTATATGCAAGCAGAGTAGCATAAGCTATAAAACATAATACAAATTTCACTTACGTTGTGTGTTTGATAATCTCGAACAGGCAGTCATCCTGCATTTATTTTTTTGACCAAATCATAAACACTTCAAAGCAAATGGCGGTCTGTAAAATATTCACAAATTCCTATACTCGTTTTGGCATAAAGATTTTGTTAAAAAGAATAAAGTATATTTGTTTGTTTGTGTACATATCCACTAGAATTATCATTATTTTCATCAAAAATAATAGCCATAGATCTGCTGAAGTTTCTTTTCTAACCTGAAGCTTCAGACTTTAAAGACCATGAGTGGCTCACTGAAATAACCCTGATTTTTGTGTTTGTGATCGGTTTTCAATATCAGACTTTAAAGCGCATTAGATTAAAAATAAATTTGATTTCTTCTTCCCGTCTTCATGTCTGACATTCAATACATATAATAAGTTTCCTCGATGAGTACGTTAAAAATTCCAGATAAAGATTTCAGGCGCGGATTGCCAAGCAACATCTTCATTTTGCAACAAGTTGAACAATATCTGGAACTTAAATCACTTGGAAACAAACAGCAAAGTCAGAATGTTTAATAAGAATGTCTAGGACAGTTTTTTTTGGGGGGCGGAAAATAGAACAACTTTAAAAGCAATCATCCAGATGAACACAAATTTTATTATCAGTTGTCTGCAAGAAGTAATTTAGACCTGTTGACCAGACAATATCAATAATAACTTGCTATGAAAGAGAAACACTCAGATTCAAGCAGAAAGATAAATTAAATCGAAGGCTTGGAGTGGATGAAACGCACATTGTGGGAGCACGAAACAGCCTCTCTGAACAAGCCATTAATTAGAAATCTTGAGAATAAATGATAATAGGTAGGCAACAGAACGCATAACGCGGAAAGATGAATGCAATCCTAAAAGGAATGAGGACCATTTGAACGAAACTGAAAAGAGAGGTCTGAAACAGAATACGTAGTAAAATACCGATTGACAATCATTACTTCATCGCGTATTACAGGCAATGGTAGTGAAGTTATAAATAATTCGTCAAAAAACATAAACAAATGACATTTTTGATGAAAATGAATGCATTTTTGAAAGTTCTTTGGCACCATGGGCTGCTTTATAACGTCATACAAATATATTTTGATGGGTTAAACTTCAAGGACATCTCGCAGACTATTTTGTAGAATTGTTAAAGAGAAACTTGTACTGAAATTGGAATGTGCTTACGTAGAACAACTTATTTAATATACTGTGGCGATTGGTAAGTACATGGATTAACTGATGCCTTTAAAGTGAACCTAATTGTCCTTCTGACAGATTGTAGATCATAAAATTATTACCGATACGTGACTGTAGAACTGTTGATGAATATTACATAATAGCATCATCGGAAAACAGAATAAACCTTGATTGTTCAAAACACGTGCGTCGAAGCTTAGGTATCATGTGCAGATGGTCGATTACAAAAGACGGTTCACATATTCTTAAGACGACCTCATAGATCAGGTAAATTCATGTGAAATCACATGAAACTACAACTCATCCGTGTTATATCAATGGATAACTGGTTATGCGAATTTCTTATTTTATTTATTTAATAAACAGATGGGCAGTAATTCAGAAAGCATGCCAGAAAATTTATGCGAATAAACCAGCAATAATTACTCGCGCGAATACATGCGTTTGAGATACATTTTCCAT